ATGTGTTCTTAGTAACTCTAGAATTTAGTTGTTTAAAACCCTATTTATTCTTTTTAAAATGTATTTAAAGAATCATAGTCCACATATAAAGCAGAAGGGAAATCACACTAGAGGGCACTAGTAAGCTACATGATTTGTTTTTTGTTTTTTGGATTCTCCCCCCACCCCTTGGCAATCTCATTTGCATGTCTTTAGGGAAGCTCTTGCTGCTTAAGCTTATCTGTTTGAGACTATTCATTTTTTTTTCTGCTTTCTTCATTTTTTTTTCCTCCTACAAAGCCCATTTGGCTTTTCTCATTGACCAGTAGAGTTCCAGACCCTTAGGTTCATTATTTTGATAAGCTTTTTCCCAGTTGGGTTGTCTGGGTGGCCTTTATGTCTTTATTGAAATCCCTGGTTCTTGTCCTGTGACATTTCTGATGTCTTTTGAAAGAACATCTCTGCAGCTGCAAATGATTGCTGCTTAAGCCCAATTTTAAGACCTCAAAAAGCACACACATCACCCCTGGGCATTTTTTTTTAAACCACACTTATACCCTAATCTCTGGAGGTAAAAGGCAAGATGCTAAGTAATCTGCCACCTGGCCTGTCCTCACACAATTAGCGCCGAGCACAGATTTCTCTTCTGAGGAATATACTCGATTTTTCCTAAAAGGTCAAATGAAATTCATGCTTCATGTTCAAAACAAGTAAAAAGTAATATAGGGATCTAAAGTGTACCTAAAGAGAACTCACATTTTAATTAAACTAAGTAAACCAAGTTTAATGGTTTTTTTTTTTTTCAGAATGTCAGGGTTTTTAAATTATTATTATTATCCATTTGTTTAATAAGAACCCAATGTATTTTGAGTTCTATGAATGTTGAAATAATTTTTATAACTCATTATTATTTAGATTCTTCTTTTAGTTGCCTCTCTTTTGAAATTCTAGCTATTAAAATAATTAAAGTCTGTCTCAAAATGATATTTATCTTAGTATTCTATTGCTGAGCAGAGACTCCATGACCAAGGCAACTCTTAAGTAGAACATTTAACTGGGACTTGCTTACAGTTCATCATGGCAGCAAACATGGCAGCATGCAGGCAGACATGGTGCTCTCAAAGTAGCTGAGAGTTGTACATATGGATCCTGGCCATATATCCTAATTCCTTCAAATAGTGCCACTTCCCGGTTATCAAGCACTCCAATATATGAGCCTATGGGGGCCATTCTTATTCAAATCACTACAGGATTTTTGTCTTAAAGTAGAAAGTAGAATACAAACACCAGGGTATAGTTCAGTTGAGGCTGAATATACCTAACAGTTGAGGCTCTATGGTCAATCCTCAGTATCATAATAACAAGGAATAAATAATCAGTAGCTAAAGGAAGTAGTCCTCTAATCAAATGGAATAAAAATTATAACTAATTTGAAAATGAACACAATGACAGACAATTCTGGATTGAAAAGAAACTGTGCTTTAACCCCAAGGCTTTTCCCCCTTCATTAAGTTCCTTCGATGCAGAAGAAGTCAATCCCTGTTCTGTATATGACTGCTAATTCATTTCTTCTAAGTTGTGACAAGGCAAGACTAGGTAAGACAGGGCAGAGATTCTCTCATCTGGTTTCTGGCTGAGGCAATTTTCCTAGAATTTGATCTCCTTTATGGAAAATTATCCAACTCTGTTCTAGGAACCCAGGGTCTGGATGGCCCAGCTTACTTGGCTTCTCTTCTGTTAAACTGTTTGCCATGCAGCTCTCTCCCACCCCCTAACCATTTTCCTGAGGTCCTGCTAAACCTGCTGCTCAAGAAAAAACTCCCTTGGAGCTGCATAGTGAGATAACAGGATATGAATTTTGCCTTTAAAAGCCCCTATGTTCCAAACTCTAGAGGGTACAGTTGGGTCTCTAATAATTATTCTCTTTAAAAAATTCCAACATTCATGCTCTCCAGAACCCTTTCTTGCAAATTTAGACTTTGGACACCATTTCATCCATGTCATCCACCCCAAACCATTGGTTATTACTGGGAAACCCTATGCTTCATTGTGCTTAAGATTTGGTTAACCCTCCTGCATCAGTTACTTGTGTTTTTGTTGCAAAATGGCTTAGGAATTTTAATGTATAGGTTATCAGGAAGCCATGATGTGTAGCTACTCACATGCCATCCAGTAGGAAATAGAGAAAACAGCTTGTTTTCTCTGTGTTTTTCATTCTGGGACTCTACATAATGTTGAAGTGCTGTCCCTATTTCCAGTTAACCTTTCTACCTCCATTAACAAAATCTAGATAACCCCCTACAGTCATGTCCAAAGGCTTGTCTCTTCAATGATTTTATATCTGTCTGTCACAAGAGATATCATAGTTTCTTCATTACCCCTTCCCTCACTCTCTTTTTTCCTTTCTTGTTTCTGGATTATTTTCTGATAGCCTAAATATCCATTCATCTACATTTTTGTAAGTGATAGGATCTCATGTATAAATGAATATTGCTCGACATTACTCTATTATTCATATGTATTGTGCATATTATAATTTTTCTACTTATCATCAATGGACATTTACATTGCTTCTATACCTTAGGTTTATGACTCAGCAATGAACGTGAAAGTGAAGAAAATTCTGTTTTCTTCCCTTATATCCTTAAGTTAGATTACTGAAATCATACATTTATTTTATTCATAATTTCTCCAGGACTTTTTATATTATTTTCCATAATGGCTGCACCAGCTTATATTTCTGCTACCAATACACTCTTTCGCCCCTACAATTTATGTATTTTGACTATTTGAAAACAGGTATCCTAGAAGATATGAGGCTCTACCACCTTGTTTTTCCATTTCTATGCCCCTGGAAATTACGATCTTTAAAATATCTCTAGTCTATCCCTTTGTACCTCTGCAAATCACTTTCAAGTAAAATGTATATGGAGGGACTTATAGTCATCTGAGTAATATGGTACTTAGCTACCTAATCATATCTTCAGAATATGTTCATATTTCTTTGCATTAAGTTTGGGAAATGGTGTTCACAGCATTATAGAGTGAGTTCAAAGTTATATTGATAAATACAAAGAAAATATACTTAATTACCAGGCATGTTTGCTACCATAAGTTGCTTTGTTTTCAAGGTGGAAAGATTTCATTTAAAATATTGAATTGAGTTACAGACTTTGCCTCATAATTCCCTGAATGGAAATCCCAAATGAAGGACTAGTCCTGACCTAAGTAGTCAAACAAGGGTGACTTGCACAAGTGTATTTCCACATAGTCCCAAATTCGGTTGTTTAGCTATTTGTTTATAAATTGTGATGATGTCTAGTTATATACAAATGTCTTAAAATTATTGTTAACCATATACATTTATGTCATTTTGTCATTTGCTTTCTCTTTTACAAGCATATGTTTTTATAACACTTGGTAAAATGTTAAATTTCAAACTTATAGCAAGATATACTTCATAGAAACACTGAAACATTACTATCCTACAGTAAATGCTAATACAAACAACAGAGAAATGGCTGTACTCTTTTGTGAATATATGTGAGAAGGTTTTTAGGGATCATCAGTCATATTGTCATAACAGGCAAACATTTGGTAATAAAAAGTACATTAGAAGATGCTATTCACTCAGCCAGTAAAGGTTATGATATTTTTAAACTATCATCTGAAACAAATGTCCAATTTTCCAAGCAAATAGTGTTATCTATTACTTGAGAAAGATATTATCTTTTAATACTAAAGTTTACAAAAACAGTTCTACAAATTTATCATAAGTTGCCCTCATAAAAGAATTAACACATGAAAATAAACACCTTTATTGTATTGCCATATAAGTAATTGATCTGTATGGATTAGAGGTCACATAACTTCAGTTCTAGGTTTTCAAGTTGGTATGAACCACTGGCTAAAGCAGTTTTAAAAGAATTTTCTGCTATGAGTACTACTGTCAGTAACAGAAAGAGTGATGTAATCTTCCTTACATGCTATATTTTGCATAGCATTTTAATGTGATACTGTACATGAAGTAGGAACAACAATGAAGAATATTTTTATATTAGATGAGTTTTATGGAGTTTGTGACTAAGGAAATCTCCTGGAAAATATCTACTGTCTCAGGATGAGGCAGTATGGAATGATGAGGAAGGGAAAGAGGAGGGAAGGTACCATGAATGACTACTGGCCCCTCTAGACATTATGATAGCTCATTTCATGCCAAAACTCTCACAAATTATGCAAGAAGAGAAGGGCATCAATACAATAAAGGCAAAGATAGAAGTGGTTTCCCATGAATGTCCAATAGAGTGAGCTAAGTGTGATTCACAGGATTAACTCTTTATCTGGTAATGACATTAAACAGAATAATATTTCTCTCCAAAATAATATAATGGGATCGTATGTGTATGTGTGTTTGTATTGTGTTGTGTAGGAAACTATTAATATTGAAGAATAATTTTAAAATTCAGCAAGTTCATGAATTGTGATTTTATTCATCAATAAACTATTGATCATTTAGTCTGTAAGAAAGTATCTATAATGTTGTGCTGCCAGTCCTCCCAAGTTACTGCTAATTTTGATGATTTCTTATAAGGATTAAAAGCTGAGGGAAGATTCTGTTCTCATGACTATAGTTCACTTCACAGTGAAAATATAGACTAAAAATCAGCAAAAAAGAAAATGAACATAAAGTGGAGTGTGATTTAAAGTATTTAAAATTTTTATTTAAAATTATTTCGTGTGTGTGTGTGTGTGTGTGTGTGTGTGTGTGTGTGTGTTTGTGCATGTTGATGAATGCAAACATGGGTACATGAATACCATAGACATGTGTAGAGGTCAGTAGACAACCTTGAATGATGATCTTTAGCTTTTACCTCATTTAAAGAAAGGTTTCTTTTTGTTGCATATTTCTATATATTCCACTCTTTTGGCTCTTGACCTTCCAGTTACTGTCACGTTTCCACCTCCCATCTTGTTGTAGGAGGCCCAAGATTATAGATGCATGAGCAACAGCACCCCGCCCCCAAGAGAGAGCATAAACGCAGTCCCCCCCACTACCACAGATTTTGCGGTTAAATTTCCTTCATTGGGGAAAATCACAGGAGTCACCATATTCAGAGTACAATGGATAAGCTTTTCCCTGTGAAAACTACCTTCGTGATCATGGTATCTCCCCTGCTTTTAGCATGCAATGCCCAGATTTTACCTGAGTTCTGGATAATAAAATTCAGGTCCTCTACTTGCATGGCAAGCATTGTATCCACAGAGCTGTCTCCCTACCCAGGATATTTGTCTACTCCCAGGATAATTACAAGTAGAGTGCTTCATTTTCTCAGCAACAATGTATAATAACACTTGGCAAGAGTTATTAATCAAGTAATTTCATTCAAGGCTCAGTATTTTATTTCAGGCAATCACAAGAATAGAACTCCTGTATGCTGGTATTTACTGCTCAGTATCAGAGGTGAAACTGATGGCTCAGAACTCCAGGTGAACAAAACAACATTTACCATGAACAGCATTTCCATATTACCTCTCTGAGTTGATCCCATGCTTAAAGTATTTGGAGACACATCTTCAGGCTGTTTAGAGATTTGGAAGCTATCTTTCAAATATGAGGCCAGTACTGAAACTCCTTGCAATATGCTGTTTATATACTGCACATTAGAAAGGCTATGAATACATCCTCATCTATGCATCTGACTATAGGAAATTTGATATAATACATTCTTCACTGTACAGATTGACAGCATAGATTTCATTAAAAACAATTACAATCATAGCTTCTGGTCAGTTTCTATAGAAAGAAGATATATACAAAATGCTCAGATATAAAACTTATGCCAGAATTTGTCTTTCCATGGGTAAATTTAGGGATATGGTTGAGGATCAATGAGCAAGTCACCATTCAGGTTTTATCTACTAGAACACATGTACAACTAAACTTCATGAATTAAGCAGAAAAAGTGGAATTAAAGAGAGGCAGCAGCAAGCACAGCAGCTTAACAAGAGAGCTGGACTCCACTAGGTCCTTGGCCAGCCCAGGAATAAGGCACACTTGTTATACATTAAAAACTGGAGTAGGTCAATCATCAAAATGATAGAACAAGTTGCCAATTTTATAATTATGTTTAACAATTTACCACCAATTTAATGCCTTAAAGGAACATAAAGTTGGTTTCCACTCAGTTATCTAAATGAAAAGTCTGAAGAAACAATGGGGTTAAAATTAATTTCTGGGTTAAAAGGTATTTGATATGGAGGCTTCTGGGGATAATGTGCTCTTGCTTTTTAATAGTTTCTACCTAAATTACAGGGGTCATGCTCCTTGGTCCACCTTCAAAGTGCATCTCTCTAAACCTTGATGCTCTTTTGAATCTTTGTCCCATTCTGACTTGTATGTCCCTCCCACACTTTTTCCCTTATTAAAACCCTGTGAATATACTAGACTTACCCAATGACCAACAATAATTTACATTTTTGTTCATCTCAAGTTCTTCACCTAAACATACTCACAAGTTCCAAGATTCAGAAGGGGTACTTTTAGTGATCATTGTTTTAATCATTATAATACTAAGCAACCCATGCCCAGGAATAATCAGCATTGAAAAGGTCTCTTAAGAAATGCTATTGTTGAAGCCTAAGTAGCCAAATCAGTTTCCATATCACTAAACCTATATTTCTTTATTTAGTCAGAATGACCAACAATCAATGAATGGACCATGAATTTTCTAAGTCCGATCAACATATATAAGTTTTTTTCATAGTTATGGGGGTTCAGAAAATCAGCCATTGATCTTCAAGAGAAAGTCATTATATTAAGAATCTAAGAGTTGTCTTAATAACTGTCATTTAGTATGCATTTACTCTCTCTCACACACACAAAAGTGAGAAATATGGGAATTGGTGTCACTTTTTAAAATTTAGACTTGAGACAGTCTCTCTGATCTTGACCTTCTGCTGGGGATGCAGACATATTGACTAGCAACCATCTGTACTTGTGTTCATAATAAAAGAAGAAAAATTATTACAATAAATCTTTCCGCCAAAAGCTGCCTGAGCCCACCGCCATGTGTGAGCTTTATGTAAGCCACCCGCCCGAGTTAGGCCCAAATAAATACACAGCATCTTGTATTAGGTTCAAAGCTGCTTGGCCAATGGCTAGGACTTCTCATCTTTTAGCTCAGTCTTAAATATCATAAATCTACATATTTTATAAGACTTATCTCATCAGATGCCTTATTGGCGACCCTCCTTGTTGGTGGATCACATCTTGCTGCTGGAGCAGGAGCGGAGGGGAAAGAGAGCCCTTCCTGTTTCTCCTTCGCTTAAATATGAGTCTCCTTGCTATGTCACTTCCTGCCTGGATCAGCAGTTCTCTCCTACATTGCCCAGAATCCTCTTTGACTCCTAGTCCTGCCTCACTTGCCATTACATTGGCCAAACAGTATTTTATTTAACAATCAATAAGATAAACATACACAGTACATTCCCCATCAAAAAATGTTTCATAAGTGTACAGAAAAGGTCTAGTGCTTGACTTATGGGGTGAAACAGTTCCTCTTCTGAGCCCCAATTCCTCTAGAGAGATTTTCTCCAAGTCATTAACCTGATCCTTGATTTCCAAATAATTTTTAACCCATTAAGGTGAGGATGGGACTGCAGACAGCCTCTTCTCCTCTTTGCTGCCTAAGTGAGATGTTCAGGTTTCACATCAAGAGTCTTCCATATGAATTCATCTTGTGTAGACTCTAGATGTGAGTTTCTGTATTTTCTTGAAATTGATTCCATAAATCTTTTCTGAGACTACACACAACACTGAGTCAGAAAGAAAGGTATTTTTAGCATCAATTCACTCTTCTGAGAGCTGAGCATTGGTTCTCCACTATTGAATTATGGTTTAACAGACATGACATTGTGCTTGGTCCTTGAAATTTTGGATTCATTGTATTCAAAGTTTTAACTGTAATTGACAAATGTGCAAAGTTCCCTTAAATTTATCTTTTAAAATACCAAGCCTGTTCATCATCTTCCCATTGTTCCAAAAATAGGCAATTGCATGTTCCAGATCTTAAGTCTGTGGACAAATATTTCTCTCTGACAATAAGCATATAAATTTACAATCTGCAGCATTATAGACACATATAATGAAACAAGTTTGGATTTTACTCTTCTTTCTACAATTAACCATATTGTATCTGATACAAGTCTTCTCTGAAGTCCTAGCATGGTGGTGACATAGAAGCTGATGCTCAAGCTAACACATGCTAATAAAAGTATGAATGTCATTTGTTTCATTAAATAATTTGGTTTTAAAATCAGTTTTACAAGAATATAGTCATTTTGTTATGTCTTAAATGCATTTATGTATGATTGTCACAGGTTCAAATAATCAGCATCAGTAGTTGCTGGCACATGAACAGTTGTCTTTCTTTCTTAAGGCAAATATGTACATCATTAGTTATCAACTATAAAAGACAGGTAGGAAATGTAGTTTAGTAATTAGGCAACTATAACAATCAAACCTGTAGTCACTTTAGGTATGTTTACAAGGTCAAACTGATGTATTGGAAACACAGGTCATCTTCAAACACTTCAGAGATCTACAGAATATGGCATTTAAGAAGATTTAATTACATGGGTTCTCTTTTATGACAATGAGACATGTCTGCTTCTGGCAGCACCAATCTACATCAGAGAAGATGATGGGCATCAAAGAAAGTCCACATGGAGTTTAAGTTCTTTGTGGTAAATGTAAGCCACTGGACAAGAAAGTGCCCTTGCCTCAACAGCAGACAGTATGCTGTCCAAATTGGACAAACAGGACACCAAAAAGAGTGACTGCAAAACTTGCCAAGACAACGTGGTCCAGTCTTTCAGGCTATCCTGGTTCACAGAATATCTGTTAGATGTGCCTGGCCTTTTGACTGAAGATGGATGCCCCAATGTTGCAGAAAAATCTTGGGTGATTGTCCAGGCAGCAAGATGTTTCTGTCATTTCTCACATTTCTTTGGAAGTCCCTTGCTCGCACTTCCTGCTTCCTCAGTTAATATTATTTCCTTCTTGGGTCTCTGAGGGAGTTGAAGACTAAATAGTATAGTTATAGATTTCCCTGTTTACCAGAATTAGTAAAGAAATTCACTATTGATGTATTAAGCATAATAGGTTTAAAAACATTAAATATAATTTGATATGAAAATTAAAATAGATAGTAAATTAGTACAAGACTCTTGACTCATCAAGAAAAAATAGATAGTGGACTATTTTCTCAGAATTTGTCATTTGCTTATGGACTAGACATTGTACTTATTGCCATGTATATTGTGCATAGTTATCATTCTTATTTTAGATACTTTTTCTCATATTGGTTACAACCTTACTTTTTAGACAAAAGGGGGGAATATGTGGTGATATCTTTCTTGCACAAATAAAGCATGTCTGGGGGTCAGAGAATGGAGCTTGCCACTAGTTAACCATAGATGTCTGGAGGTCTATTCAGACAGGCAGGAAGTGATGGAGCTGGGCAGAAACATGTTATAAACAAGGACAAACAGGAAATTGCTCTCTTCTCTGTAGAGACGCTGAGCAGTCATTATGTAGCAGGGAAAGGATTTGCAGGTCTGACATTCTCTGGTAATCCAAAACAACACGGAAATACATGGCTTAATAGAAATGGGTTAATAATTAAGACAGAGCTAGCCAATAAGAAACCCTAGTCATTGGCCAACAATTTCATAATTAATATAAGTCTTGTGTGTTTATTTGGGGCATCACAGCTGTGGGACCAGGCTGGTGGGAAGAACAATCTGTAACACATTAAGTTTAGTTATTTTCTTGTTCATGTGTGTATATGTTAACATGTTATATGATTGTGTATATGGAGGCCAAAGGAAAGCCTCAGGTGTCATCCCTAAGAAGACCATCCATCTTCTTTGAGATACAGTCTCTCCTTGGCCAGACACTCTCTAATTAGTTAATACTGCCTGGCCACTAATCTATAAAGACTGTTTCTTGTCCACCTCCTCAGCACTGGCCTATTACAGGCATATGTGGACATACGTCCATCTTTAAGTTGGTTAACTTAACCCAGCCAGGTCCTTGTGTTTGTGAGGCAAGGACTTCACCAACTAAGCCACCTCAACCTTCCTGTATAATTCTTCCATAAAATATTATGTTCAAAGTGAATA